ACTTGAGGTCAGAGTCCGAGACCAGCTTGGTCAACATGGTGAAACCCCATCTCTACTAAAAATACAAAAATTAGCTAGGCGTGGTGGTGGACACCTGTAATCCCAGCTACTCTGGAGGCTGAGGCAGGAGAATCCCTTGAGCTTGGGAGGTTAAGGCTGTAGTGAGCAGAGATCACATCACTGCACTCCAGACTGAGGGCCAGAGCAAGACTCTACCTCAAAAATAAAAGAAAAAGAAACCACTTGTTCGCTCATCCATAAGAAGCAACTCTGCATCCATTTAAGTTTTATGATGAGATTGCAGCAATTCAGTCATGTCTTCAGGTTCCATTTCTAATTCTAGTTTTCTTGCTATTTCCATCACATCTGCAGAAGTCTTGAACCCCTAAAGTCATCCAGGAGGTATGGAGTCAATTTCTTCCAAACTCCTGTTAATGCTGGTATTTTGGCTTCCTCCCATGAACCACAAATATTTTTAATGGCATCTAGAATGGTGAATCCTTTCCAGAAAGTTTTCAATGTACTTTGCCCAAATCCATCAGCAGAATACTACCTATGTTATGAAATGTAATTGTAAAAGTAAGACTGGCAGGTTTAAATTACTCCTTGATCCATAGGCTGCAGAAAGGATGTTGTATTAGCAGGCATGAAAACATTCATCTCCTTATACATCTCTGTTAGAGCTCTTGGGTGAGTAAATGCATTGTGAATGAGTATAAGCAGTAATCCTTCTTCTCCTCCTTCTATTTCCCCTTCTCCTTCTCCTTCTTCTTCTCCTTCTCCTTCATCTTCTTATTACTCTTCTTCCTCCTCCTTCTTCTTCCTCTTTGTCCTTCTTCCTCTTCCTCTTCTTCTTCTTCTTCTTCCTCCTCCTCCGCCTCCTCCTCCTCCTTCTTTTTCTCAGCAACCTTTTGGAATCTCTTTTTTCTGATCAATCAGTCTCAGCAGTGGGCTAAAAAGTTCAGTACAAGTCAGGAACAACAGCTCACATCTCTAATTCCAGCATTAGGAGTTGGAGTCAGGAGTGTCTCTTGAGGCCACGAGTTTGAGATCAGCCTGGGCAACATAGCAAGATCCTGTCTCTATAAAAAATAACTTAAAAAAAAAAAAAAAAAAAGGCCAGGCGTGGTGGCTCACACCTGTAATCCCAGCTCTGGGAGGCCAAGGTGGGCTGATCACCTAAGGTCAGGAGTTCGAGACCAGCCTGGCCAACATGGCGAAACTCTGTCTCTACTAAGCGAAAAAAAATACAAAAATTAGTCAGGAATGGTGGCATGCATGTGTAATCCCAGCTTGTGGGGCTGAGGCAGGAGAATTGCCACCTGAGAGACAGAGGTTGTAGTGAGCTAAGATTGCACCATTGCACTCTAGCCTGGGCAACAGAGCAAGGCTCTGTCTCAAAAAAATTTTTTTTTAAATTGAGTTTGGGTGCAAGGCAGCTACTGACAGCAGAGTGCAGCAGCTGAAGGCTGGTGAGTCAGAGCCATGATGTACCAGACTGAGGGCCTCACACTGACGCTGGACCTGGAGGAGATGAAACAGAAGACGTACAAGGATGTGATCTCTTCCATACAGAACTTCCTCATCTATGTGGCCCTACTGAGAGTCATATCTTTTATCTTAAAGAAACTGGACAAAGGCTGGGCGTGGTGGCTCACACCTGTAATCCAAGCACTTTGGAAGCCAAGGCGGGTGGATCACCTGAGGTTGAGAGTTCAAGACTAGTCTGACCAACATGGTGAAACCTCGTCTTTATAAAAAAAAAAAAAAAAAAAAAGAAAGAAAGAAAGAAACTGGACAGAATACAAAGATTGGGCATCCCGTGTGAATGCATTATCATGAAGTTTTTACTCCTCTCTGCAAGTGAAAAGGCTGAGAAAGATATAAGAGACTCTTTGAATGGACATAAAAATTCTGCTTCTTAAGAGCAAGTTTGGCTCTGGTAACTGACCTCCATAGCTAAAATACAAAACTATTAGGAAATATAAAAAATAAAAGAATTAGCTGGGTATGGTGGCACATACCTGTGGTCCCAGCTACTTGGGAGACTGAAGTGGAAGGATCACTTGGCCCAAGAGATCAAGACTGCAGTAAGCTGTGATTGCACAACTACACTCCAGCCTGAATCACAGAGCAAGACCCTGTCTCAAAAAACACATACAGGCCGGGCGAGGTGGCTCACATATATCATCCCAGCACTTTGGGAGGCCAAAGGAAGCAGGCACATCACTTGAGGTCAGGAGTTCAAGACCAGCCTGGCCAACATGGCAAACCCCTATCTCTACTAAAAATACAAAAATTAGCCAGGCATGGTGGCGTGTGCCTGTAATCCCAGCTACTCAGGAGGCTGGGACAGGAGAATCGCTTGACCCCAGGAGCCAAGATCACACCACTGCATTCCAGCCTGGGCAACAGAGCAAAACTCCATCTAAAAAAAAAAAAAAAAAAATACACACACACACAAACACACACAGAGTGTGCAGATATATATATCCATACAGTAAAAAAGAGATGTGCTCTCATCCAGACTTTGTTGTTTCATTTCTAGAGCACAGGGAGAGTAGAAAGCATAATTCTCAAAGGCCTTAGGATTTTCATAATGATCAATGAGGAACTGGCTTCAACTTAGTCACTAGCTGCATTAGCACCTAGCGAGAGTCAGCCACTCCCTTAAAGCCGTGAAGCCCGGCATTGACTTCTGTCTAGCTGTATAAGTCCTAGATGGCATCTTCTTCCAATAGAAGGTTGTTTCATCCTCACTGAAAATCTGTTGTTTTGCCTTCAGATCAGTGATGTCAAGGAAAAGAAAATCTGTTGTTTAGTGTACCCAGCTTCATCACTACCTCAGCCAGGTCTTCTGCATAACTTGCTGCAGCTTCTACATCAGCACTTGCTGCTTCACCTTGTACTTTGATGTAATGAATATGGTTTCTTTTCTTTTTTTTAATAACTTTTTAGGAAGACTTCATCCAAATAAATTTAATTTTTTTATTATTTTATTTTATTTTATTTTATTTTTGAGACAGAGTCTCGCTCTGTTGCCAGGCGCCAGGCTGGAGTGCAGTGGCATGATCTTGGCTCACTGCAACCTCCACCTCCCAGGTTCAAGCAATTCTACTGCCCAGCCTCCTGAGTAGCTGGTACCACAGGTGCACGCCACCATGCCCAGCTAATTTCTGTATTTTAGTAGAGATGGGATTTCACTATGTTGGCCAGGATGGTCTCAATCTCCTGACCCCATGATCTGCCGGCCTCAGCCTCCCAAAGTGTTGAGATTACAGGCATGAGCCACCGCGCCAGGCCTGGTTTATTTTCTTAAACCTCATGGACCAACCTCTTCTAGCTTCAAACTTGTCTCCTGAAGCTTCTCACCTCCCGTAGCCTTCATAGAATTGCTCTGGATAAGGCTTTGACTTAAAGGCATGTTGTGACTGGTTTGATCTTCTATCCAGATCACTCCTACTTTCTCCGTATCATCAGTAAAACAGTTTTGCTTTCTTATTATTCATGTGTTCACTGGAGTAGCACTTTATTTATAAATATTGCCCAGGCTGGTTTCAAAGTTCTGGCCTCAAGCAATCCTCTGGTCTGTCTCCCAAGTAGCTGGGATTACACTTGTGTACCACGATGCCCATCAACACTTTTAATTTCCTTCAAGAACTTTTCCTTTGCATTCACAACTTTGCAAACTGGCACAAGGGGCCTACTCTGCAGCTTATCTCTGCTTTTGACATGCCTTCCTCACTAAATAATAATTTCTAGGTTTTGATTTATAGTGAGAAATGGCAGGCACACTGGCTCACTCCTGTAATCCCAGTGCTTTGGGAGGCCAAGGCAAGAGGATCACTTAAGGCATGAAGTTCAAGCCAGCTTGGGCAACGTAGCAAGGACTCCCCTCATCTCTACAAAAAATTAAATAGGCTGGGCATGGTGGCTCATGCTTGTAGTCCCAACAATTTGGGAGCCCAAAGCAGGAGGATCAATTGAGCTCAAGATTTCAAGATCAGCCTGGGCAACACAATGAGACCTCCTCATCTCTACAAAAAATAAATAAATATGGCCGGGTGCAGTGACTAATGCCTGTAATCCCAGCACTTTGGGTGGCTGAGGCGGGTGGATCACCTGAGGTCAGGAGTTTAAGACCAGCCTGGCCAACATGGTGAAACCCCTTCTCTATTAAAAATACAAAAAACTAGCCAGGCAGGGTGGCAGACACCTGTAATCCCAGCTACTCAGGAAGCTGAGGCAGGAGAATTGCTTGAATCTGGAAGGCGGAGGTTGCAGTGAGCTAAGATCGTGCCATTGCACTTCAGCCTGGGTGACAGAGCAAGACTCTATCTCAAAAATAAATAAATAAATATCAAAAAATTTAAAATAAATAATAAAAGCAAAGTGAGAGACATACAACTCTTCCTTTCACTTGAACACTTAGACACCATCGTAGGGTTATTTTGGCCTAATTTCGATATTGCTGTGTCTCAGGGAATAGGTAGGCCTGAGGAGAGAGAGAGACAGGGGACTGCTGGTTGGTGGAGCAGTCAGAACACATACAACATTTACTGATTATGGTCACCATTTGATATGGGCACAGCTTGTAGCACTCCCAAAACAATTTCAGTGGTAACATCAAAGATCACTGATAATAGATCACCATAACAGATGATAGTAATGACAAAGTTTATTAATATTTTTGCATGTTTGGTTTTGTTTTCTTTTTTTAAGAAATTGATACGGGGTCTCACTATGCTACACAGGCCGGTTTCAAACTCCTGAGCTCAAGTAATCTGCCCACCTTGGCATCCCAAAGTGCTAGGAATATAGACATGAGTCATCACACTCGGCCAGGTTTTCTTTTCTTTTCTTTTCTTTTTTTGAGACTGAGTTTCACTCTTGTTGCCCAGGCTGGAATGCAGTGGTGTGATCTTGGCTCCTGGGGTCAAGCGATTCTCCTGCCTCAGCCTCCTGAGTAGCTGGGATTACAGGCGCCCACCACCACGGCCGGCAATTTTTTGTTGTAGTTTTTTTACTAGAGACGGGGTTTCGCCATGTTGGCCAGGCTGGTCTCGAACTCCTAACCTCAGGTGATCCTCCCTCCTTGGCCTCCCAAAGTGCTGGGATTACAGGCATGAGTTACCGTGCCCAGCCCCATGTTTGGTTTTCTTTAGAGACAGAATCTTGCTCTGTCACCCAGGCTGAGGTGCAGTGTCATAATTATAGCTTAGTGCAGCCTCAAACTCCTGGACTCAAGCGATCCTCCAGCCTCAGCCTCTGAGCAGCTGCGACTACAGGTGCATGCCACCACACTCAGCTAAGACAAAGTTTTAAATATTGTGAGAATTACCAAAATGTAACACAAAGACATGAAGTGAGAACATACTACTGGAAAAATGGCACCAATAGACTTGCTGGATGCAGGGTTGTCAAAAGCCTCAAATTGTGGGGGAAAAAAACCCCACAATGTCTACAAAGCACAATAAAGTGAAGCACAACAAAAATAAGGTGTGCAGCTGGGCCCAATAGCTCACACCTGTAATCCCAGCATTTTGGGAGGCCTAGGAGGGTGGGCAGAGGTCAGAATTCTTATAATATTTACTCTGCTCCAATTAATGTAGTGTTCTTGCTGTTTCCATATTACACCAAGCACACTCCAGCCGCAGGGTCTTTGCACTTGTTCTTCCCTGTACCTGGAATGCTTTCCTCTTTGTGAAAACACAAGGTCTTTGCTTAAATATCAACTTTTCAGAGGGGCTTCCTGAATGAACTTCTCTATCCCATTGATACTTCCTATCCTCCTTTCTTGCTTTATTTTTACTTTTATCTTGAGATGGAGTCCTGCTCTCTTGCCAGGCTGGAGTGCAGAGGCACGATCTCGGCTCACTGCAACCTCTACCTCCTGGGTTCAAGGAATTCCCCTGCCTCAGCCTCCTGAGTAGCTGGGACTACAGGCGCACACCACGACGCCCAGCTAATTTTTGTATTTTTAGTAGAGATGGGTTTTCACTATGTTGTCCAGGATGGTCTCCATCTCTTGACCTGGACATGTATGTCACCATTACTTCTGCTGGCTCCATTTCTAGAACACCTGTGTTTTCTACCTAATTTTAGATGTCTGATATCTCCTTCAGGGCAGAAATGATAGTTGACTTTTCTGTGTCCCTAGGACTAGCCATAGGGTCCAGCACATATTAGGCACTCTATAAATGGTTCTTGGACTAAAATTTTGCCTATTTCCACCTGTTTCCTGTCATTTCATAATTCTCATTCTCTCCATAATTCCACTGTAGCCACCAAAATACCTTAGTAAATGTATTAGAGTACATGTCTCTGTGGTGTTGTAATTAAAAGCACAGGCTTTGGAATCCAATAGGCTTAGTCTTGGCTCTGTTACTTAGTGGTTATGACTTTGAGCAAGACAGTTTACTTCTCTGAGCCTCGCTTTCTTCATTGGTAAAATGAAAATCATAATGCCACAAGAGGTTACAGTGAAGATTAAACTCAATAGTGTATACAAAGCCCTAGCACTCTAGCACAGAATAGCTACATGAACGATAACAGCGGTATTCCCTAGCCAATATCAGCGACTGTATCTTTAGCATCTAGAGAATATAGACATTGTCAGAGAGGAAATGATTAGAGACAGGGCTGGTGAAGTCAGTTGGAGCCACATTATGAGGGGATAAGCAGTTTAGCCTTTATTCTCTAGATAATGACGAATAATAAAAGAACTATGGTAACACCTAAAACTAAGAGCAAGTCAAAGACAATATTTTTGAGCACCAAAAGAGGAAGGCCAGGAGAGTTGCCTGGGGCCATGTTAACAACTCATTGAACCTTATGGTAACTGACATCAGTTATGAACTCAGGCTATAGTTGCATGATGTCAGCCTTTCAGATGAAAACAGAAATTTCAGTCAAACATCTGGTTGTTTAGTCTACTCAGCATCAAAGACCTGGCTGTTCTGAAACTTTCAGATGTTTGGCTGAATGGTTTAGTTTTCATCTTCATCTAAGGGGCCTGGTAGGCACAATCACTAAGATTTTTGTCAGCTTTGGGCTTGAGGTGTTTTTTTTTCTTTCTTTCTTTCTTTTAATTATGGAAACATTTCTATAACAACATAAAAGAATTTTAAAAAAAAAGAAAGAAAGAAAAACAATGGAGGGGTTAAGGCGGAAGGATCGCTTAAGGATAAGAGTTTGAGCCCAGCCTGGGCAACATAAAAGTCCCTGTCTTTACTAAAAATAAAAAAATTGGCTGGGCATGGTGGCACATACCTATAGTCTCAGCTACTCAAGAGGCTGAGGCAAAAGAATCCCCTGAGCCTAGGAGTTTGAAGTTATACTGAGCTATGATCGCACTACTGCATTCCAGCCTGAGTGACAGAGCAAGACCCTGTTTCTAAGGGAAAAAAAAAGAAAGAAACAAAGAAAAATAAAATCTTCCTAATTATACCTCATTAAAACAACTGGTTTTATTATTGCATGTTCCCTTAATAGAAATATAAAGTTTACATTGCTTAACCACAAGAACATTTGTTTGTGCCCTTTTCATTGCACTTATTGTTAAGTTTGATTTAAATGTAATTCATATTTTTTGTATATTTTTATAGAGTCAAGGTTTTACTATGTTGCCCTGGCTGGTCTAAAACTCCTGGGCTCAAGTCATGCTCCTGCCTCAGCCTCCCAAAGTGCTAGGATTATAGGCATGAGGCACTGCACCTGGCTTCATATTTTAAAATAATTACTATATAATATTATCAACTGGATATGCTAGAATCTACTAAATTTGAACATTCTAGGGTTGCTGGAAATTTTTATGCCTCTAATTTTTCATTAAGATAAACATCCAGGTCAGGCTCAATGGCTCACGCCTATAATCCCAGCACTTTGGGAGGCCGAGGTGGGCCGATCATGTGGTCAAGAGATCGAGACCATCCTGGCCAACATAGTGAACCCAGTCTCTACTAAAAATACAAAAATTAGCCAGGCATGATAGCACATGCCTGTGGTCCCAGCTACTCGGAAGGCTGAGTTGGAAGAATCGCTTGAACCCAGGAGACGGAGGTTGCAGTGAGCTGAGATTTCGCCACTACATTCCAGCCTGGCGACAGGGCAAGACTCCGTCTCAAAAAAAAAAAAAAAAAGATAAACATCGGGTTTTGTTTACAATAGTTTCATAGGATAGCCAATTAAAAGTCAATGCATTGGCCAGGCATGGTGGCTCACACCTGTAACCCCAGCACTTTGGGAGGCCTAGGCAGGTGAATCACCTGAGGTCAGGAGTTTGAGACTAGCCTGGCCAACATCGTGAAACCTTGTCTGTACTAAAAATACGAAAAAAAAAAAAAATTAGCTGGTCATGGTGGCATGCACCTGTAATCCCTGCTACTCCAGAGGCTGAGGCAGAAGAATCGCCTAAACCCAGGAGGCCAAGGTTGCAGTGAGCAGAGATCGTGCCATTGCACTCCAGCCTGGGCAACAAGAGCAAAACTCCCTCTCAAAAAATAATCATGATAATAATAAAATAAAAGTCAAAGCATTTTCATAACTCAAGATGTCTTAATTCATTTTGTGCTGCTACAGCAGAATACCTGATACTGGGTAATTTATAAAGTACAGAGATTTAGTTTTCACAATTTTGAGGCTAGGAAGTCCAAGACTGAGGATTCAGCATCTGAAGAGGGTCTTTGTGCTGCATCATCTTTTGGCAGAAGACGGAAGGGCAGGAGAGGACGAGAGAGAGCAAGAGAGCAAACTTGCAGCGTCAAACCCTGTTATAATTGGCGTTAACTCATTCATGAGTTTGGGGCCCTCATGACCTAAATGCTTCCTATTAGACCCCACCTCCCAACACTTGTACTGAGGATTAAGTTTCCAAAACACGCTTTTTGGGAGACATATTAAAACCATAGCAACAGGCTGGGCATGGTGGCTCACCCCTGTAATCCCAGCACTTTGGGAGGCAAAGACGGGTGGATCACCTGAGTTCAGGTGTTGGAGACCAGCCTGGCCAACGTGATGAAACCCCGTCTCTATTGAAAATATAAAAATTAGCCAGTGTGTGGTGGCAGGCACCTATAATCCCAGCTACTTGGAAGACTGAGGCAGGAGAACCATTTGAACTTGGGAGGCAGCGGGTGCTCTGAGCCGAGATCACACCATTGCACTCCAGCTTGGGCAACAGAGCGAGACTCTGTCTCAAAACAGACAAACAAAAAAGAACAAAAAAAATAGCAACATATTTCTATATTGCAAATGAATTATACTACTTTAAACTGATATCAACAATGTATGTGTTCCCACAATAGACTTCCCACATAAGATTTCACCACAATCTTATCACCATTGGTGTTATCATTTCAATGTTTTAATTTCTGGCCAATTGAGCCAGTTCTAACATAATATATATAACTATATATCTATCCCTTCTCCTCTCCCAAAACATCAATACAATGAGAATAAATGATTGTGGTTTTTTTAATCTTTTTGACAGGGTCTCACTCTATCACCCATGCTGCAGTGCAGTGGCAAGATCTCAGCTCACTGCAACCTCTATCTCCTGGGTTCAAGTGATTCTCCCACCTCAGCTTCCTGAGTAACTGGGACTACAGCCATGCACAACCACGCCTGGCTAATTTTTTTTTGGAGGGGGGCGGTATTTTTTGGTAGAGATGAGGTTTCACCATGTTGACCAGGTGAGTCTCGAACTCCTGTTCTCAAGTGATCCACCTACCTCACCCTCCCAAAGTGCTGGGATTACAGGCCACTACACCTGGCCCCAATGAGAACAAATGATTGTTTTAAAAGTATATACTCACCTGGGCATGGTGGCTCACAACTGTAATCCCAGCACTTTGGGAGGCTGAAGCAGAAGCCTCACTCAAGTCCAGGAGTTTGAAACCAGGCTGAGCAACATAGGAAGACCCCATTTAAAAAGACCAAAACTGGCTGGGCATGGTGGCTCATGTCTGTAATCCCAGCACTTTGGAAGACAGAGATCGGAGGATCATTTGAGATCAGGAGTTCAATTCAGCCTGGCCAACATGGTGAAACCCTACCTCTACTAAAAAAATACAAAAATTAGCCTGATGTGGTGGCAGGAGCCTGTAATCCCAGCCCCTCAGGAGGCTGAGGTAGGAGAGTGGCTTGAGCCTGGGAGGTGGACATTGCAGTGAGTTAAGATGGCACCACTGCACTCCAGCCTGGACAACAGAGCAAGATCCTGTCTCAAAAAAAAAAAAGAAAGGAAAGGAAAGGAAGGAAAAAAAGAACACTAGGAGATAAAGAAAGTATGCTCCAGCTTTAAGGGAAAAATAATAGTATCATACAAGGTATAGAGAGATAATTGGAATGATATTAAATGCCTTAACAACAAACACTAGAAATATAAAGTAGCAATGCCTTAAAAATCCTGTGTAAAACTTTTTTTTAAATTTAGAATTCTATATCTTGAGAACTACCAATCAAGTGTGAAAGGGAAATTAAGACATACTGAGATTTGCAAAGTCTCCAAAAAATTACTTTGCATAACTTTGTTTTGGAAAGCTACTATAGAAAGTGTGCCACCAAAATGAGAGAGTAAACCGAGGCTGGACACAGAGGCTCACACATGTAACCCCAGAACTTTGGGAGTCCAAAGCAGGAGGATCACTTGAACCCAGGAGTTCGAGACCAGCCTGAGCAATATAGGGAGACCCTGTCTCTACACAAAAAAAACAACAATAGGCCGGGCGCGGTGGCTCAAGCCTGTAATCCCAGCACTTTGGGAGGCTGAGGCGGGTGGATCACGAGGTCAAGAGATCAAGACCATCCTGGTCAACATGGTGAAACCCCATCTCTACTAAAAATACAAAAAATTAGCTGGGCATGGTGGCGCGTGCCTGTAGTCCCAGCTACTCAGGAGGCTGAGGCAGGAGAATTGCCTGAACCTAGGAGGCGGAGATTGCGGTGAGCCGAGATCGTGCCATTGCACTCCAGCCTGGGTAACAAGAGCGAAACTCCGTCTCAAAAAAAAAAAAAAAAAAACAACAGCAACAATAATAAATAGCTAGGCATAGTGGCATGTGCCAGCAGTCGTAGTTATTCAGGAGGCTGAGGCAGGAGGATCCCTTCAGTCAGAGTTGGAGGTGTCAGGGAGCTATAATTGTGCCACTGCGCTCCAGCCTGGGCAACAGAGTGAGACCCTGTCTCAAAAAAAAAGGAAAAAGAAAAAGAGTAAACTCAAAAAACAGAAACAGCTTGGATTCTTAAAGGAGAAAATATATTTTTCATGGAAATATAAACGAGAAAAAAAAATAACAAAAAGGTAAAAAGAGGAAATAAACAGCAGAGTCTAAGAGAATCCTCACGATGGTGATAAAGGGTAATCCTAGAATGACAGCTGTTTGGCATGAATAAAGATTAGACTAGCCTTTCGAGGTAGGAGGCCGCTCTCGTCAGGCTTGGAGCTAGGTGCGGATGCAATGTGGCTCTCGATAGCACCTTATGGGTAGTTGTGTCCCAAAGGAAGGATGAGAATAGCTGCTGAAGTCCTAAAGAGCAAGCCTAACTCAAGCTGTTGGCACACAGGCATTACACAGAAAGCTGGAAGTTGAAATGGTGGAGTCCAACTTGCCTGGACCAGCTTTATGGGTTCTGCTGGTAACGTTTTTATCCATGGATGGCTTGCTTGGGTGCAGATGTTGGAGACCTTTTAAAGGTATGGAGAGTTGGTTTGACTACACTGTGTGGAGCAAGTTGTGGGGCAACTTTTAAAGAAGGAAAGGTTGGGATTCATGCTTGAAGAAATGCAGGCAGACCTGCTAACCTAAAAACTAGAGTTTTTAATGACCACAGCAAGCAAGCATGCAGTTTGGCCCTTGAAAGGGTCTTTCCTCACCCAGGCTGTAGTGCGGTAGCCCTTTGAGGCTCACCACAGCCTCAAACTCCTGGGCTTAAATGATCCTTGGCCTCCCAGTGGACTTTGTAGACAGCCTGATATGGAGTCTCAAGAAGATTAAAAATGTCTCCAATTTCAATAAATGGCTGCAATCCAAAAAAAAAAAAAAAAAAAAAAACATTAGACTAGGAAAGTAGAGGGCTTCCAGAGCTACCGGTTCAGGAAAATAAATGGAACAGATAAATTATCTGACTATATTTAATCATGTAGAAAAAGTGATATAGAGAATTGAGCAAATTAGTGGGGCATGGTGGCTCACGCCTGTAATCCCAACACTTTGGGAGGCTGAGGTGGCAGATCACCTGAGGTCAGGAGTTTGAGACCAGCCTCACTAACATGGCAAAACACTATTTTTACTAAAAAGACAAAAATTAGCCAGGCATGGTGGTGCACACCTGTAATCCCAGGTACTTGGGAGGCTGAGGCAGGAGAATTGCTTGAACTACATGGGGAGGAAAGGAGGTTGCAGTGGGCCGAGACTGTGCCACTGTACTCTAGCCTGGGTACAGAGTGAGACTCCATCGAAAAAAAAAAAAAAGAGAGAGAGAGAGAGAATTCGGCAAAAAAGAAAATTAATATCTCATCAAGAACAATTAAAAGCAACTGTATAACAAAAAAAAGAAAAGAAAAATAGAAAAATAATATCTCCAGCAAGAAAAATGTATACAAGGAAATGTAATTATGGTATATTACTTAGCTTAGCAGTAAACAACATTCATAATAACTCAGTAAATTTTGATTCAGTCAAAAAATATATTTTAACTAGATTAGGGGAAAAGTAGAGATCTAGAGTGATGAAAGAGGCTAAATCCTCATCTTTCATAGTGGAAATTCAAAAGATCATGTCTAAAATTGATAGGTTGAAAACAGTAAGTATACAAGCAAATTATCTATTTAATGAAAATAGCCGGGCGCGGTGGGTCACGCCTGTAATCCCAGCACTTTGGGAGGCCGAGGCGGGTGGATCACGAGGTCAAGAGATCGAGACCATCCTGGTCAACATGGTGAAACCCCGTCTCTACTAAAAAAATACAAAACATTAGCTGGGCATGGTGGTGCGTGCCTGTAATCCCAGATACTCAGGAGGCTGAGGCAGGAGAATTGCCTGAACCCAGGAGGCGGAGGTTGTGGTGAGCCGAGATTGCGCCATTGCACTCCAGCCTGGGTAACATGAGTGAAACTCCGTCTCAAAAATAAATAAATAAATAAATAAATAAATGCCAGAATGGCTAAAATGTTTGGGGAGGGGGTTTGAGGTTAAAGACGAGCAAGGATAAGGAATCACATTTTTTACTCATAAGCCTTACGGTATCATCTGACTTTTTAAACCATGTCAGTATATTACTTTGATTTTCAAACTTTAAAAATAACTTTTAAATGTTATATCATTCATTTGAATTTGCTTAACTGAAGATTTTTACCATGTGTTTACATACTGACTATAAATTAATTAACAAGCATTTTTGTACCTATTGGTTGTTTTGCCCAGTATGGGAGATAATTAAATGAGTAAAAGTAAATCTTTACCCTTAAAGGTGGGAGAGAACAATAAGTAATCAGATAGTTATTAAACAGATGACAAGTGCAAAAAATATGTGAGAAATATAGAGGGCATTACAGGAGCAGAAAGGAAGACCTATCTGGCTTTACCTTGGGAGAAGTGGATCTGAGCTGCATCTTAGAGGAGGACAAGCTTAGCTTAGCTCTCTCAGCTCTTCTTAGGGAGAGCTTCCTAGGCAAATGGACTTGATGTGAAATGTATTGGAGGGGTCAACAAATTTCCTTTGCCAAGTTTGTGAAGGCCACATTTATGTAATGTGGGATTTATCTCATCCTTTGTTCAGTTTTATTTGAGTTGAGCCAACTTTTGTGGCCTGCTGTGGTGTGTAGGAAAAATGTTGTCAAACCACGTTTTTCCTCTGCTCTCACACCACCACAGCAATTATCAACAGAGAAGACTTCTGTGACCAAAGGTGTGGAGGGTTTCCCCACACACCAAGCAGCAGATACCAGCTGGGTATCCTGTAATACTGTCTACCCAGAGACAGTGTCAGATCCCACAGATTGAGGGCTCAGTCCCACAAAACTGTCCTCTCCTTCCTCCTAGTTCTACGTCCAGCTCTCTGAAACTTCTGACCAACTGACTTCAAGTTGGGGTTCCCACAATCTCCATTTTGGGTTTGATTAATTTGCTAGAGTGGTTCACAGAACTCAGGGAAACACATTTACCAGTTTATTAGGAAGGATATTTTAAAGAATGAAAATAAACAGCCAAACGAAGACATACACAGAGTGAGGTCTGTAAGGGTCCTGAGCACAGGAGCTTTTGTCCCCATGGAGTTGGTGTTGATCACCCTCCTGGCACATGGATAAGTACTTCTGCACCTTCCTGTCAGTCCTCACATGTTCAGCTCTCTGGAAGCTCCCTGAACCTTGTCCTTTGGGCCTTTTATGTAAACTTCATTGGTTATCTATGACTGAAGCATGTCAAAATGTGATTGGACAAAAAAGATATGATCTAAACACAACAAGGCCTATCTGTTCAGATTCTTCTTGGCCTCTCTGTGCAGTAGTCCTTCCTCCAGAGTATGGAACATGACCCTCTCTGAAATGAGGGTCTTAAGAACCACAATCAGAAAGGTATGGGAATATGAGAGTCCTGTCTAGGGGCAGGTGAAAGGAGGGCAGGAGAAAGTCAGAAATATTTTGTTTCCTGAAACACCCACAATTTTATTATAGAGAAGACTGTAACAAGGGCAATGGGAATTATGAGCTAGGACCATGGATAAAAACTGATATATATAATGCTACACGTGGACATTTTAAAATCTCAGAGATGTGTCTGTTCTTAAAATGCAGCTGGGGTTCTGGCTTTGAGGTGGAAATAATGCAAACGACTGTAGATGGTGCAGCGTCACAAATGCGAAGGCCAGGAAAACACTCAAGCATTTAAACTCTTTTCATATGTGTGTCCTCTAATGGCCAAGAGTAAAGATTTTTGCTTTTTAAAACCTTTGACCCAGCACTTTGGGAGGCCAAGGTGGGCAGATCACCTGAGGTCAGGAGTTCAAGACCAGCCTGGCCAACAAGGCAAAACCCTGCCTCTAGGAAACTACAAAAAAATATTAGCCAGTCATGGTGGTACGCACCTGTAATCTCAGCTATTTGGAGGCTGAGGTGGAAGAATCGCTTGAACCCAAGAGGTGAAGGTTGCAGTAAGCCAAGATTGTGCCAGTGCAGCCTAGCCTGGGCAACAAAGCGATATTCTGTCTCAAAAAAAAAAAAAAAAAACTTTGAATTATCACCTTGGCTAAATGAATCACTATTATTTTATAATAACTTGTGATCCTATTTTGAGTAAATGTCTTAAACCTTTGCCATTTGACAAACTTTTTTCAGACTTTTGACCTCCAGCTAATTTTTTTGGATATTAGGGCCCCAGAAGTCCATATCAGGCTTACTTGGTATGTAAAAATCACACAGGAAGCATTGTCAAATATGAAATGGTGTTTAACTTCTTCAGGTTGGCTGGGCACGGTGGCTTACACCTGTTATCCCAGCACTTTGGGAGGCTGTGGGTGGATCACCTGAGGTCAGGAGTTTGAGAGAAACCTGGCCAACATGGTGAAACCCCATATCTACTAAAAATATAAAAATTAGCAGGGTGTGGTGGTGGGCACCTGTAATCCCAGCTACTCAGGGGGCTGAGACAGGAGAGTTGCAGTGAGCCAAGATTGTGCCATTGCTCCAGCTTGGGTGACAGAGACTCTGTCTCAAAAAAAAAAAAACTTTCTTTCTTCAGGTTATACTTGTATAACTGTATTATTAATATGTGTTCCAAAATTCCAAGAGATTCCTAAGATTCTGGTATGTCAGTATGTGTTATCAGAATAATTGTGATTATTATGTTAAATTGTTATATGCCACAGAGATAAGCAAATTTCTTCTTCTTCTTTTTTTTTTTTTGTTTTTTTTTAGACGGAGTCTAGCTCTGTTGCCCAGGCTGGAGTGCAGTGACACCAGCTTGGCTCACTGCAATCTCCGCCTCCAGGGTTCAAGCAATTCTCCCTGCCTTAGCCTCCCAAGTAGCTGGGATTACAGGCACTGGCCACCACACCCGGCTAATTTTTGTATTTTTTTTAGCAGAGACGGGTTTCACAATGTTGGCCAGTCTGGTTTTGAACTCCTGACCTCCAGTGATCCACCAGCCTCAGCCTCCCAAAGTCCTGGGATTATATGCATGAGTCACCATGCCCTGCCAAGATAACCAAATTTCCTAATCAATTGTGTCTTTAGCCACAGCTAATCTAAGACTTTTGTCATCAACAGACAATCATAGCTTTGCTTTTTTTTTTTTTGGAGATGGAGTTTTGCTCTGTTGCCCAGGCTGGAGTACAGTGGTGCCACCTTGGCTCATTGTAACCTCCTCCTTCAGGGTTCAAGCGATTCTCCAGCCTCAGCCTCCCAAGTAGCTGGGACTTTGTTTTGTTTTGTTTTGTTTTTTGAGATGGAGTCTTATTCTGTCGCCCAGGCTGGAGTGCAATGGCGTAACCTCAGCTCACTGCCACCTCTGCCTCCCAGGTTCAAGTGATTCTCCTGCCTCAGCCTTCCGAGTAGCTAGGACTACAGGCTCATGCCACCATGCCTGATTAATTTTTTTATTTTTAGTAGAAACAAGTTTTGCCATGTTGGCCAGGCTAGTCTCAAAGTCCTGACCTCAGGT